AAAGGGGGGAGGGCATACTTAACAAGATCCAAACAAATCTCTTACCCGATTGCAATCCCTTAGCTTTTCGCAACATACAAACCGAGAACTTAGAATTAGCATAATTTTTCTTAACTCGAAAAATAAAACAATAAATTGCCTCAAAAAATTGGATTAATATCCTCTTATCTGCATACTAGATCTGCATTTTTTTCGGAAATCCGGAAGTGCAAATTAGAAACATCCGTAAGAGAATGACAGTAAATCTGATCTCAAAATCCTCAAAACTAGACATGCTTATCTAAATGAGGTCAGTCAGTAACCTCGAATCATAAAGCTACCCAACTCCTGACAAAAACAAGAATCGTCAATCGCTGTACAAGTAGCTCAGAAGGTTCTCATATTGGTCACTCTAAAGGTTGAAGGAAAACGAAATCTTCTCATGACCCTATTGATCGTAATTCGAAAAAAATGTACGTGTCGAGAAAAACTGGTAATAACTTCTACGCTTTTCATGTTATGCGTAATTTACATTGCGGATTTGATGAATTGAAGGAAAGGCTGATAACTTCATCTAATTCTACCACAAACTATAGGATATTCTAGCTATTTGTATCTCATACTTGCAGCTTGTTACATAGTTCAATCCCCTCCTATGGCCAAAAACGAAACAAAAAAATTGATGTTAGAAAATTTGTTTCAACATTATTTTTCAATTTTTATTTGCTTTACTTAACTTGATATGATCGGAACATTGAGTGCTAGCTGCACAGCAACAGGCTATTCTTGTTTAGTCATTTAAAATTCTTGAGATCACTGATTGCTGGTTTCTCACCTGGACAAAATGTCGTCTACACTTGTGAGCGATTTTGATGAGTGTGTCGCATGCCATGTCCTGCACTCCCTCGTGAGTCTCGTGCATGAACTCAAACAGTTTGTTAACGACTGTGCGCAGGAACTTCCAGTGGGCTCTCAGGAATCTAGGGTATTGGCCCACTATGTACATGATATTCGTGGCCACGACCGCCTTGTTGTCTTTGCCTCGCTTCTGCTCACACAGACCTGCAAATGCGTCAACATTGGACCAAATACTTACACTTGTTTCTGGACACTTGAACATTTGCTGTACTCGAAACAGTTTTGTTCAGATTTCAAGTTAAGCATTTTCCTAAACTGTGTCATAAATGGAACGAACCAAGAAGATCTTTGATGACGATGACGAGGAAACGCTTCTCATCCTCCTCGTGCATGGCGCCACTGATGGACCCAATAGCCCAGCAGAGAGTGTTCAGGTTCTTCCAGCTCCACTCAGTACCGTCCACCTGTTTGCCCAACTTCTCCGTCAGTATTCGCTCAGTGTCCATCACATCCAAGTGGGTCAAGTATACGAGAGTCTCTCGCATCGACTTGTAAAGGTTAATCGAGTCCGTGTCCTGATAACGAAAGAAAACGAAGAAAAGAATGTGAAAATTTTTCCCTAAATTTTCTGTTTAAAGTCATCAAACTTTACAATAGAATTTACTAGCTAAACTACTTCTCGTGTGATGAGCGATTGTAATGTATCTCGTAAAAAATCATCATTTTAGAGCAAATAATTTTGGTTTATGAAATTTATTTATGGTTCTGACCATTGAAAAGGACGAGTTTTATATTCGGGTGTTTTGTTTTTTTTTTCTCTTTTTTTTCAAGCAAAACCACTTACCGCAAACAATCATTGGACTAAGTTGAGTGTGATATATTGTATAAAAACCCTTTCAGTCGTGATTTAAACAACATTAAATTTCCAAAAAATCTCCCAGTCGAGAAAAACCTATTCGCAGTTTTTGGTTTATCGGCTAATTTCAACCAAATAAAGTGACGATAACTTGTTACATTGGTCATTTAGGCTTGAAAAATTTAAATTTTCCAAGCCGAAACTAGTTTTGAAAGCTTTATCTGGCAATTTTTTTTTAATATAATTATAGTGCAAAAGGAAAAAATTTTATTTTAAAAAAATCTTTTTTCATTTTTTTTCTGTGGTTTTTTTGAAGACAGCTGTTCCCGATTACGCCTAATTTACTAAATTTCTACGCGTATGTATAGTATTCTCATCACACCACGTACAAAAAAAAACGACACCCATTTGAAGAACTTTTATTTGTAGTTTTTATGAATATGGTCGGAACATTCTGTGCTACTGGCACAGCAACCGGCTATCCGCGTTATATTTTAAATCATCCAAAGTAGGCAACAATTAGGCATGGAATATGCCTTCAGTCGTTTACAGCCTCATCTGTCAAATAATTATAAATCTTGATGCTAATTTCTGTTGAACTTAATTGGTATTGAGAAGGAGTAACTCTTTTTCTTCCATACAATTGGAACTAATTTAAACAAGCCCAATTTTTGCTTTTTTTACTCTTAAATTTATTACTTGGTGAGTTTAAACTACAACACAACAAAACTTCATTTACAGTATGCGAAACTGTTTTTTTATGAGGAAGAAAATAAGATTTTTTTTCAGCTCTTCGCGTTTAAGAGCTGCTCACATCTTATTGAAAATCCATCAGAAAATTTTTGGCTAAAGTTTAGGTTGGTAATTATTGTATCATCCTGAAGCAACGAGAGCGGAAAATGGTCGGACCCGAACCAATTAGGTTTTATTTTCGGCTGCATAACTAGCCACTTCTCTGATCTACTTCAACTTCGCCCTCCTCTATTACTTATAAAACAAACAATTACGCGAGTAAAATCCTAGTGGGCAAAGATTAACTCTCTATTATATCCTTCACACTCATAAATTTAATGCTATTAGTAATATTTATCGCTTAGTTTATCGAGAAAGATAATGATAAAAGAAAAACTTTTTTAGAATAACTAAACAATATTTCTTTCTGGCTTTGCTACATCAATTCTCATACCTTCATGAACTCTCTGACAAGCTCCCCTTGATCGTTCTCTACCACTAAAACCTCTTCTGGTTTGGCCATCTTGCTGATCATGATATACCGCACAGCGGTCAAAATATCCGAGTAGAAATTCCTTCTCATTGGGTGGTAGTCTCCCATAGCGAAAACCGGACTGGCTCCAGTTGGAAAGGGATTCTCTCGGTACAGTTCGCACGTCAGCGAGAACCAATACTCCAGACAAATTTTGAAAATCTCCGTATCATCGACTGTCGAGCACTCGACTAAATATTTCAAAGCCGCCGACAAGTGTTCTTTGCATTTATCTTTTTTCTCAACAAGCTGTCCATGTTCTTTCAGGAAGGTACTGAGGAACAAACTAAGGTTCTGAATGAACTGCTGTTCTTCGTCCTTTCCCTTCGCATAGCCTTCTTTCAGGTTGATCGAGGGCGGCAGGATTTCTTTCAGTTGCGAAACCGTTAGGTTGAAAAGCGCAATGAATTGCTGGTCGTATTGCTCCTTCACGTTAATTCCTAAACAAAACTTTGATAGTTGTAATTTTTTTTGGCGAAATATTCGCTCTAATTCAATTCTGATTTCAAGTATAAACAAAAACCCGAAGTAGAGCTTCGCAACACTTAAGATTCAAAAACGAATGACTATTTCATTTATATGATAAAAACGATAAAATATTTTTTATAAATTTCTTTTATTTCGCAAAAGTTCAACTTAAAATCTAGATCGAAGATAATCCATCCGTTGACATAGACTCTATTACCAAATCTTTCATGACTTCAATAACCGAGAAAAAAAATATTCGTGAAAATGTTTTTTTTTCGTAATCAAATGAAATCATACTAGCGTAAAACGCACCTCCGGTACTCATGATAAGCCGCATATATTGGAAATAAGATCTGCATTCTTTGAGTGTGCTTTGACAGCACCCAATTTCAGAGTTCGTAATTACAAACTTTGCAAAAATTTTATTCAAAGTTTTTTATACAAATTTTGAAGAACCATGAAATTTTGTAAAGTTTTATTTAAGTTCTTCGAAAAATTTAAAATGATCTAAGAAACGTCACATCTGGGAAGCTAAAAGCAATTGAGCAGTCGCATTTGGACGCAAGATTTTCAACTCCTGAGAGTACTCTTACAGTACCCAAGTACACCGTTGGGAAATTCAAATTTGAGAAACTCCACCTTAAGTATTCTAAAGAGGTATTTTTTTGAAAACCAGAAAAAATTTCACATCTCGAAAACTACCAAGATTTGAGCAGTCTTATTAGATGGCAATAATCGCAATCTTTGAAGGCACTCTGACAGCACACAACTACAGGGTTGGGAATTTACCTTTAGTGAACTATTTTGTAATTTGAGATTTCTGAAAATTTCCTAAGAAAATCACAAAAATCGTCGTATCTGTTGCACTAAAAAAAAATGAGCATTCTCAATTGGAGGCCGAATTTGCAACTCCTGAGATTACTCTGACAGCGCCCAACTACAGGTTAAGAATTTCAAACTTTGAAAAAAAAAATCAATTTAATTTTCAAAATTTTTTTAAAAAAAAATCACAAAAAAACGTCATGTCTGGAAAACTGCAAGGTTTTGAGCAGTCATATTTGGAGGCAAAATTCACAACTCCTGAGAGTACCCTGAAAGCGCCTCACTACAGAGATGGTAATTTCAAGTTTTATAAAAAAAATTATACCCAAGTTCTCCTAAAAAAAATCCTAAAAAACGACATATCTCGAAAAGTAGAAAGTTTTGAGCAGACATATTCAGGCAAGATTTGCAACCTCATGAGAGTACCCTCACAGATTCCAATAACAGGATTGAGATCTTCAAAGTTTTGGACCTTTTTAACATCTATTTTTTTTTTTTTTGAAAATTTCGGAGAAAATCATAAAAAACGTAATATCTCGAAAACTACAAGGATTTGAGCAGTCATATTTGGAGGCAAAAATTGCAACTCCTGAGAGTACCCTGACAGAGCCTCACCGCCGAGATGGAAATATCAAATTTTGTGATTTTTTTATATCTAAATTTTCTGAATTTTTTTTTTTGGAAATCTTAAAAAAAACGTCATATCTCGAACTACAAGGATTTGGTTATTCATATATGGAGGTCAGAATCGCAAAACCTGGGAAAACTCCGAGAGCATCCAACTATTGGGTGGCTAATTACAAACTTAATGAATTAAAAACTGAATTTAAACGGGAAAATGGAAAAAGCCTTAACCATTGCAATATACGATATAACTTAAACGTGAAAAAATTCTTTTGTTCAAGATGTAAAAAAAATTACGTTGAAAAAGCTGAAACATGTCGAGATAGTGAAGCCCGCATTTAAATATATAAAAGATTTGATAGAAGAAAAATAAAAAAAATTAGGAGACGGGTAGCCAGACTTAATTTGGCCTCGTAAAAAATTACTAATAAATTAATGACCTTGCGGAAAACTAAATAAAAAATTTTCTTACGCATTGCAATATATGATTTAGCTTAAACATGAAAAAATTCTTTCGATGAACATGCAAAATTATTATGCTTAAACATGGGAGATAGCTGTCACTAGCATTTAAATATAGTATAGATAATCATGTTACACTGAAAAATTGCTTAAGCAGACCCGAATCTACATTAGCAAAATCTTAGTTGGTGGTTGAGATGAGAGCGCGAATCAAAACTAGGTCTTATCAAGGAATTTTTTTCAAAATGAAAATTGAGGTCGAACTAAAAGTAGGTATTATCAAGGAATTCAAAAATGAACATGGCCAACAGAGGATTGGAAAAGTGTAAGGAAACCGAAAAAAAACATTTGTCAACTTCCAAGTTTTTCCCAGCTAAGGCTCTTTCAGTTTTAGGAACAATTTCTGGCTGACACTTTGATAAAATTAACCCAATTTAAGAAAACTTCAAAAATGGGTAATTTTTTCATTCCGCTGGAAAATCTAAAATTCAAAATCCACTTTCGACACTTTCAGAAATCGATCTCATTTTTCCTGCCAGTTCTGCTTTTGCAATTAGAGAGCGCAATATACCAATTTTTTTGTAAATGGATTTGAATTGAACTCAAAAAATGCATATATACCTAAAAGCAATAATAATAGCATCAATATGTATGAATGCACTTCCATAGTTATAGGAACATATTGAAACCTTTTACGGAAAAAAAAACCAATTAAAAAAATTATCAAGACCTATGTCAGTGGAAAATTGAAAAACCTTTATCCAAAAAAGGCATTTTCCGCATTTAGGTAAACAATCCAAGTTTTCATTCGCATGCACACCCATTCCCAAAATTCTTTCAAAAAAACCTATTTTGAGAAATTTAGCCGATTGACGCTTTTGGAACAAATTATTTGTGTGCTTTGCTGAAGCTGCTTCTGGACCGATTAGTAAAGTTTTGATTTTCGGTTCTGTAATTTTCGGGAAAGTTTAAAAGTCAAATGAGCGCACGCACACGTCTGCTAGATCAGCTTTCAAACTGCCTTTTTGGGAAACTTTGTCGATTAGGAGCGGAAACTAAGCCGACAGCATTCCAGACGAGAAAATATATTATAGCCTTTGGGGAAACCGTGCGCACGCCAATAAAAACTGAAAATATTCATGTAAATTTCTTGGTTGATAATTATAATAGCTATTTTTTGTTCGTTTGTTTTTTTTTCAAAACTTTGTAGCAAGTAGGTTTTTAAAAAAAACGTCTCAAAAAGTCACGAATAGTTTTCAAAAAACATGGTGAAAAACTAAAAGTATTAACTCGGTCAACACTCATCTCATAAACAATGCCGATTAATTTGGAGCTGATAAATAAAACATAGCCAACAGACAATCGGAACGCCATAAACGCAAGGAAACAAAAAACTGACTGTTTTACGAGAAATTCAAAAAAAAATAGATGGCATTAAAGCATTTGGAATTTCTAGAACAATTTAAGAAGACAATTTGAGAAAATTAACCAATTGAGAAAACTGGATTAATAGAAAATTTTTATTCCACTGGGAAATCTAAAAATAAACTTTGGAAATTAGAAGTCGATCACGTTTTTTGTGATCTTTACACTTTTGCTGTTCGAGTAAGTTTTGTCTTCCTTTTTATAAACCAGTGTGAACAAAATTTAAGACTTCCTTTAAAAAGACAAACACTAAAATCACCAAGACTTATGTATGAGTCTTCGCTACTATCATCAACTGTTAAAAACGGACAAAAAACTCGGAAAAACTAATTGTGTCACGAAAAATCCAAAAAATCCCACCCGTATTCAAACTATCCACTTACGTTAGACGTTTTTTTTTTAAAAAAGAAAAAACAACCTAATCAAAATCTGAGCTGGTAAACATACCAAACAAAATGAAGACTGTCAATTACAGAAAACATAGTATAAATCAGAATAAATATTCCACGCATGGGAAATAAAAGCGATAAAAAACTAGCAAACCAACCAAGTCCGAAAATTCTAATTCGCCCGGGCATTTTTGTCATTTTCATGCATACAGAAAAATACGGTCCCACCAAAACTCAAAACTTGGGTTGCAAAGACAGCCGCATTTCCTCTAAATCATCTGCTAAGTGTCCTGAAAGTTGTCAAGGTTTAATCATACGGCAACTTCAAACTCTACATATTTGAAACAAAATTTGTCCACAGGAAAATATCTTGAAACAAAAATAACATTGAAACAAAAACAATAAAGCAATAATTCTTGCGCATTAACAATTCAAGCGTATAAACCTTTTGAAATAAAAAAAAACGGCTCCACTTATTTGAGTTCCCAAATGACGTAATTAAATGACTAGGCCGAAATAACAATCTGCTTAAATATGTTTAAAAAAATGAAAAAAAATACACAAAATCACACTTGGTAAATTTACAAATTACTGAGCTTTCTTTCAGTTATAGTAAAAAATTGTTTCAATTGGAAAAAACACATGCTTTAAAAAGTAGGCCAATAAAAAGCCAAAAAGAACCTACAGGATAAAAAATGTGAGTTTAGAAAGAACTGAAAATAAATCGACAGAAACTAAGACAAAAAACCAAGCCCGAAAAAAAAATTCGGGGATTTTATTTTTGAAAATTGATTAAAACCTGAAACAGTCTTTACCAAACTACTAGTCAAATGATGGTAGTTTTATTTAAATGTCTTGAATTTGAGCATGTTAGAAGTGAGAATCATCATTCTTAGTAAAATGACCATTCTGTGAACAAAGTTGTTTAAGGGAAAACAAATTTAGTACCCGATTGCAATACCCCTGCTTATCGCAAAAGTAAAACCCAACTAAACTCAAACTATGTTTATTCATGAAATTACAGTCGTCAAAAGAAAAAAAGATTAAGTGTCGCTAATCGCATGTGTAACAGAATGCGCATTTTGATTTTTTAAAAACTGAAAGTTGCAACATTGCGAAAATTGCAAGTCCCGTCCGGATTCGAAACGCTATAATTTGCCATTTCAAGCCGCGGCGTTTCCTTCGCGCCTAATGGTCAAAATCAATCTTCGAATTTGAATTTAATATAAGTTAACCATTGTGAATGAATTTTGTTAAAATTTTTCAGCGAAAAAAATCTAGTACTTGGTTGCAGTGCTCTTGCTACTCGCTAGGTTAAAAAGCCATTATTTGAATTTAACTTTACGGAGCTGCGACAACTCGGGGCAAAAGACAACTGGCAAAAACTTTCAACCGGCCAAATTTAAGGAAAGCGACAACTGGCAAAAATTGAAAATTTAGGTTCTCGTCATTGGCAACTAGCGACCGCGTGCTCCGCTTCATTCGCTGCTCTTACATTTGGCATGAGTGGTACATTGCGCGTGAATCAGTGTTTGCTGCTAATCGAGATCGTTTTGTCTTATGGTACGAAATGCCTTTCGGTGCGCGAGTTGTCATTCTACGAAACATATCTATCATCTAATTATTAAAAACCACTTAATTAGCAGATATCTTTTCTAACTTACCTGCTATCTCAGTGAGACACTTCAGCGTGACATTTCTGAACTCTGGCACTAGGAAATACTTGTAAATTAGGGTCGAGATTAAGTTCGTCTCAAAAATGTATCCCAATGGTATCCAATTCAAAAATTTTAGCAATGTATTTAAAGTAGCATCGATCAGAGACACCGTACTGGAATTTTCTAGAACAAACTGGCAGAGCTGGAATATTTGTCCAAATTCAGCGCACATGCTGTCTTTGAGGTGTTTGGCTTTCATTTGTGTCATCGCTCCTATGCTAAAGTCAAAAACCTCTTCGCTAAGAAGCTTCAAAATGACCATATTGTTTTGACAGAGATACTCATTTGTCCGACTAGACATCACAATATCAGATATGAAAGATGGCCAGTTCTTCGGCCATTCGTATTTCAGAATCTGGACCAAAATCATGTTCAACTTTCCAATGTACACTCTCTCTTTTTCTAAGCTCTCTGCTGTTGATGAGTGTTTTATGATCAAGCCAACAATATACTTTTGGATCCCTTCGCACTGTTGTCGAGGGAGTGCTTTCCATCTGCATTTAATCACGTTTTCGAGTATCTGTAAGGCGTAGTATTTGGTCTGCAGATTCTGAGAAAACTCCAAAATTGTATCTACCCTTGTCCAAGCATCAGGATGCTCCTAAAATGTCACAAATATAACAAGAAAAAAAGCCAACAGACAGTTAAGTCCTGGTTTTCTGAAGAAAAAGAAACATGTTTGACCTTATAGCTCTTTGAATTCCACTCATCTTTCATGTGTGACCTTTCGTTGATAAAACTACAACCGTTTAAGAAAATTTTAAATCATTCATCATACTTATGTTGTACGATGAAACATGTAAGTTCTTCGAAGCGCTGAAGCCGAAAATGGCAGAGATACTACATTGGCAAACTGAAAATTTGAGAAAATACAGAAACAGGTCCTGGACGGAAACCATCTCCAAGAAGTACCATATATGGCCGGTTGCTGTGCCAGTAGCACAGGTTGGTTGTTCCGATGCCGCTTATTTTTGCAGAGCAAATTGAACACAACAAAAAGGTTTTAATTTTTAAGTTTTTCTGATCTTTCGTTCATACTTTGTAGTTTTTAATTGATGAGAGGGGTTTGAATTAATTAAAAATACTGAGAGTCAGGTCGTCATAGCTAAATATCAGTTCAAAACTCGTCCTCCGGTTTAACTAGTTTCAAATTAGCCATGAAAACCATTTTCATCAACATTTATTGGAATTCGAACTACTCCATCATCGAAATACCCAAAATCAGCTGAAAATAGAGTTGCCAGAAGCGTGATCGTACCAACAAGACTCTGCGTATAAGAATAAAACAGTGATTGTTGCAACTATCCTTTAGGGTGTTTAATGTATTTTATTCGACAAAGAAATAACTAATCTGGAATTTCTTGTATAAAATGTACCACCACAACAGGTTAGGAAAAAAGTGCATTCTATTGTGAAAATTTTTGAAAAATTTTAAGCGCTGTAATAATTAAACAATTTTGAGGTCATGTTAATAACACCTTTCAGCTGGTTTCAAATAAGTATGACAAAAATTGCTTGGTAAGAAGCCAAAATTTGCCAGAAGGAAAAAATAAACAGAGAACAAATATAACATCCTTTAATCGAAAATCGGAAAAACCAAACCAAGCACCAAAGCATAAATTTGTGTCTAGTTCAGAACAGTCAACTGGCCTCCAACTCAATTGGAATAAATATTCAAATAAATATTCCAACTCAATTTGGAATAATTACTCGAACGCGTCGAAATTTGGATTAACTCTCAAATAAGTCGCACTTAGCGTTCAGCATCATGGATAAGATAAAAAAAACTGCGATGTTAAGTCCAGCAAAATAGTAAGTAACCATTTTTTAACCGACAAATTTCAACAAAGCTTACAGGTTAAAAATCTTTTTATATTTGAGCTCAAGGCGTTTATATCATGTTCAAAGTGGTATAAGAAAGTCGGTCACAAGACTAATAAACGAATAAGCTGGCACTGAGTTATTTGTGAGAAAAAAAGGATAAAATTACCCTATCAAGCTCGCGCGTGTAAGCAACAAAAACAACATTCAATGAACGCTGACGCGAAGCTGCACTCCGCCAACACAGTTGGAAAAGAGTCAGAAACGCAAAGAAACAGAAAAAAAACACTAAATTGTTTTGAAAAAACTTCACAAATTTTGAATTTCAAAGATTGAAAAAATAGGCCTGGAAGCCCTTCGATTTCCAAGAACAATTAATCATCGACGATTTTGATAAAATTAACACAATTTGAGAGAGAACTAGATGAATAAAAAAAAATTAATTCCTACGGGAAATCTAATTTAAAATCCACTTTAGAAACTAGAAGTTGATCACGTTTTTTCGCGACCTTTGCACTTGCTGTTCGATGGTTGAGTTTGCCTTCCTTTTAACAGTAGAAATCAATTGAACTGATTGGAAAAAAATTAATTGAATAAAAAAATCAAACACACTTATTTTCATGCGTTATTGGATGCGCGAGTCCACCTATAGATACCATTTAATTTATTAAATCGAATTTAATATATAAAGAAAGAAGATCGGTTTTTAATGTTTGGAACAATTCGGTACCTACTGCTTAAACCACTATGATCACGCAAAAGTGGCGATGATTTTAAAATACTGATCAGTCAGGGGACAGCAAGCAAAATATATTTTTTAAAAATTTAAATTCTGCGCCTATTATTAAAATAATTAAAGAATGATTTACCTCAGTTCAATTAGAATCGAGTTTTGAGCCCGGTTTATTTTTCCAATTTAATCCGAAATTATTTTAAAGATTTAATCCGACGTTATTCGCTTTCGATTCCAGTTACACCCGAACACACTGTTCGTGCATTGTTGGCGCCGGAAAAAGCGCGAAATTTAGTAGAAAAAAAACTAACCAATAAATAGTTGGAAAAAAGTCAATGAAAGCAAATATATAGAAAATATGAGTTGTTTTTTGAAGAAAAACTTTAAATATCGAAATTCAAAGCTAAAAAACTTGTGGCCTTAAAGCTCTTTGAATTTCGAGAACAATTTAGAATTCACTTTTTAGATTAAAACAACTCAAGTTGAACAACTTACCAAATTAAAAACGCGATCTACCTATTTCAAAAAAGTTGCATGCAAAAGACGATTTTTCAAAATTGATGTCACAAGTCGTATAAAAATTAGACTTTCCAAGCAAAATTTTTTCGAAATTGTCAAATGGCGCTTTTGAATCAATTATGTCAGTTCCACTTTTTGAGATCTTTTACCTGAAGGAAATAGAACATTTTAAGAACCATATTAAAGTCTATGCAATAAAACAGTTCAAAAAAGTACAAAAAAGATATGTTCAAACATTGAGACTGGTTGCTTGAATAATATTTAGTAAAATGAAAAATAAACATGGTTAAAATGCAAATAAATACTCCTGGAACTAGATGAATAAAAAAACATTTATTCCTACGGGAAATCTAAATTAAAATCCACTTTAGAAACTAGAAGTTGATCACGTTTTTTCGCGACCTTTGCATTTGCTGTTCGATGGTTGAGTTTGCCATCCTTTTAACAGTAGAAATCAATTAAACTGATCGGAAAAAAATGAATTGAATAAAAAAATCAAACACACTTATTTTCATGCGTTATTGGATGCGCGAGTCCACCTATAGATACCATTTAATTTATTAAATCGAACTTAATATATAAAGAAAGAAGATCGGTTTTTAATGTTTGGAACAATTCGGTACCTACTGCTTAAACCACTATGATCACGCAAAAGTGGCGATGATTTTAAAATACTGATCAGTCAGGGGACAGCAAGCAAAATATATTTTTTAAAAGTTTAAATTCTGCGCCTATTATTAAAATAATTAAAGAATGACTTACCTCAGTTCAATTAGAATCGAGTTTTGAGCCCGGTTTATTTTTCCAATTTAATCCGAAATCATTTTAAAGATTTAATCCGACGTTATTCGCTTTCGATTCCAGTTACACCCGAACACACTGTTCGTGCATTGTTGGCGCCGGAAAAAGCGCGAAATTTAGTAGAAAAAAAACTAACCAATAAATAGTTGGAAAAAAGTCAATGAAAGCAAATATATAGAAAATATGAGTTGTTTTTTGAAGAAAAACTTTAAATATCGAAATTCAAAGCTAAAAAACTTGTGGCCTTAAAGCTCTTTGAATTTCGAGAACAATTTAGAATTCACTTTTTAGATTAAAACAACTCAAGTTGAACAACTTACCAAATTAAAAACGCGATCTACCTATTTCAAAAAAGTTGCATGCAAAAGACGATTTTTCAAAATTGATGTCACAAGTCGTATAAAAATTAGACTTTCCAAGCAAAATTTTTTCGAAATTGTCAAATTGCGCTTTTGAATCAATTATGTCAGTTCCACTTTTTGAGATTTTTTACCTGAAGAAAATAGAACATTTCAAGAACCATATTAAAATCTATGCAGCAAAACAGTAAAGTACAAAAAAGATATGTTCCAACTTTTAGACTCGTTGCTTGAATAATATTTAGTAAAATGAAAAAAAAAACATGGTTAAAATGCAAATAAATACTCCCGGAACAAGATCATCAAATTAAGACTAATTAACACAAATCAAATACACATGTAAAAATATTTAAACCGTTTTAAGCATCGTCAGACTTCGAAAAAAAAGATATACAAACCTAATTAAGAAAACAAAACTTACAATTTATTTTAATGCAATTGCAAGAGCTTTCCTTTTAAGAGTAAGATATTGATATAGATAAGTTAAACATTTCAATTCAATTCTAATTCAATTCCGATAAAGGACTTGGTTTTACGCAAAAAAATTGCTGCATAATCTAAGTGGTATAAACTAAACAGTGAAGCAAGGCAACCGAAGATGATGCAGGCAGTTGTTGTGAAATTGGACAGATATATGGTCTTAATTCCTTGAGCCATTTTTTGCAAACTTTAAATTTCAGTTTGAAATGACAGATTAGAATCTAGAATCAAATCCATGTATTTGCAGACAGATTTTTTCTCAAATTGGTAACAAGAGGTCTGATCCTTTATTCGGTTCATCTTTTTTTCGTTAAAAAAATTTGAGCGCCAATTTCGATGCATTTTAGTTCAACTGATTCGCAGGAAAGAAAGTAAGTTCATGTAAAGAATCTAGAAAGTAGCTCAAAGTGTGACTGGAAGATACAAAATTTGGTAGCTACTGCTTAAAACACTATGATCACGCCAAACTGCCAATGCTTTGAGACCAAAAAAAAACACTGCGATCAGTAAATAATTAAAATCTGCGCCTATGAATACAATTATTAACAAATAGGCTCAATGGATAAGTTCAATTTGAATCAATTCCCGAGCCCCCTCAAGTTAGTTTTCAACGCCCACAATTTAAGGAAAACAAACTTATCAGTTTTGAATTTTTTTACTTCGGGGTTCAGGGTATCAATATCTTTCAGCTGGTATAGGAAAAATGTAGCACGAATTTAAATGAGAGAAAAACGAATTTGATTCAAGAAACACTGAACTGAGAAAGAATCGAAAAATCTTTTTTTTTTGTCTCAAGCTCGACAGCAGCGCATGCTGATTTGCAGATCTAAGATAGAAGTCCGGTGAATGTTGATGTACAAAGACAACTGGCGATGAGCCTTCTTACTGAAGCACTCTTTCCTAGCCGGCCAAGAACTCAGAACTTACACTCAGATACATTATGATGATATTTGCCGTCATATTCAAGTTACTCCCGATCAGATGGTGCATTATCGGCGCCAGAAAATCATGAAATTAAGTAGAAAGGCGACAGAAAAATTGCGCTGATTTTTTTTTAAACTTCAAATATCGATTTTCAAAGCAAAAATTTATGGCCTTAAAGCTCTTTGAAATTCGAGAACAAATTAGAATTGACACGCCTTAGATTAAAATAACTCAAATTAAGCAATCTACCAAATTTAAAAGGTAACCTAACTATTTCAAAAAATTTGCATGCAAAATACAATCTTTCAAAATTGAAGTCAAAGGTCGCAAAAAAAAATAAAAATTCCATGCAAAACTTATTCGAAATTGTCAAATTGCGCTTTTGAATTCATTATGTCAGTTCCACCTTTTGAGATTTTTTGCCTAGAGAAAAGAGAATACTTCAAGAACTATTTAAAAGTCTAAGCAGCAAAACAGTAAGTACAAAAAAGATATGTTCAAACTTTTAGACTGGTTGCTTGAATAATATTTAGTAAAATGAAAAATAAACATGGTTAAAATGCAAATAAATACTCCTGGAACAAGATAAATAATAAAAAAATTTATTCCTACGGGAAATCTAATTTAAAATCCACTTTAGAAACTAGAAGTTGATCACGTTTTTTCGTGACCTTTGCACTTGCTGTTCGATGGTTGAGTTTGCCTTTCTTTTAACAGTAGAAATGAATTGAACTGATCGGAAAAAAATGAATTGAATAAAAAAATCAAACACACTTATTTTCATGCGTTATTGGATGCGCGAGTCCACCTATAGATACCATTTAATTTATTAAATCGAATTTAATATATAAAGATTAGTTGCTTAAGTAATTATAAGTAAAAAAGAAATATACACAGGATTAAAACGCAATGAAATTGATCCCGGAACAAGACTATCAACATAAGGCTAAACAACACAAATCAAATACACATGTAAATTTATTTAAACCGTTTTAAACATCGTCAAACTTCGGCAAACTTAATTTGTGATGTACAAAATCTACTTATGAAAACAGAACTCACGACATGTAACTTTCATGCGATTGCAAAAGTTTTCCTCTTAAGAGTAAGATATTGATATAGATAAGTTAAACATTTCAAGTCAATTCTGTTTCAATTCCGATAAAGGGCTTGGTTTAAAACAAAGCGGCGGACGACTAAATTGAATCTTAAAAACGTGCGTTGTAGTTCCCAGTTCAACTGCTTTGCTAAAGACATCATTAGAGCTAAATTAATGAGCTGCAAAAAAATTGCAGCATAATCTAGGAAGTATAAGCTAAACAGTGAAGCAAGGCAACCAAAGATAATGTAGCCAGATGTTATGAAATTGGACAGATATATGGTCTTAGTTCCTTGAGCCAATTTTTCAAATTTTAGATTTCAGTTGGAAATCACAGGTTAGAATCTAGAACCAAATCCATGTATTTGCAGTCAGTATTTTTCTCAGATTGATAACAAGAAGTCTGATCTTTTATTGTTTATCTTTTTTTTTGGACAACCTGAGAATTGGCAGGGTAGTTTTCGCATAAAGTCAAAAAGTTCGCAAAAATTCCAAAAAGTGTATGAAGAAGCACTGTAGAATTGACTTGTGGGTCACTTCTCAAAAATTTACCCTATTAATTACATTGCTTCCCGATGCCTCTTTTTGGTCAAAATTTGTCGGGTATATAAATACGACCATTTTTCGGGCAAACAACTATAACCCGTTTTCTGATACTAAAAACCAAATTCTGCATGTCATTTGAAGCGTTAGAGATGCTGTATTTCACGCCAAAGAAACTGTTTTATTTCTTGAATAACTAATTCTGCGTTGTCTAAGTAACTTTTTTGTTCATACCTAACGACAAAAGTTATGTGGAAACTAATTTTTTCATGTGTTGGTAGAATGCGAACTGGAAAAAAAAACACAATATTTGCCAGTTGAAATTATTTTCAAATGTACAAGTGTAAGTCAAATTATGATGATAATTATTGTCACATACACTCAAATTTAAAATTACAAATTTACGCATTAATGATAATATCACTATCTTACGAGAGTTCCATTAAAGAAGTTTAAAATATCTCAATGAAGTTTTTCCATAGGTTGCCACTGTTGAATCTTCTTTAATTAGTAGTAAATAATAATCCTTATAAGTTGTTTTTGCTTTTCTGTACGTAAGGATATTCTTGAAATTAATTTGGTCACCATGTAACCTGATCCTATTGTTACTGATTTTTTTATAAGTAGTTGTATTGCCCATTAAATCATTCGACAAACTAAAATTTTTTAATTCTTGTGTTCATGTTTATGTGATTGTTTTCATATTGAAACTAGCAATTAACGCACCTTCGGTGCTTCGAAATTTTTCGACAACTCATGAAAAAAACCGCATATATTGGAAACAACATCTGCAAACTTTTAGTGTACTCTGACTGCACCCAATTACAGGTTTGGTAATTTCGAACTTTTAAATTTTTTTAAATTCCCATTTTAAAAGCGTCATCTCGAAAACTTATTGGGCCTCTGGAGAAATTTGGAAGTCAGATTTGCAACCACTGAGACTCCCTGAGAGCACCTTACTATAGGGTTAGGAATCCAAAATTTTGTGAATTTTTTTAAACCTAAGATTCCCGAAAAAAAAATTGAAAAAAACGTCCTATCTCGAAACTAAAAGGATTTGAGCATTCATATTAGGAGGCAAGATTTGAGACGCCTGGGTGTACGCTGAAAATAAGGTTGTATCTTCATCAAGTTAGTTTCAAATTTTTTCAATTTCTTTGTAGATAAGTTCTTTGAGAAATTTTTAAAAAATCGAAAAACGTCACATCTCGGAAAGTAAAAGCATTTGAGCAGTCGCGTTTAGCAGTCGCATGTGGCAAGATTTGAAACTCTTTAGAGTACCCTGATAACACCGAACTAAAGAGTTGAGAATTTCAAATTTTGAAAAATAATTAATTTAAACTTTCTGAAAATTTTGAAAAAATCACAAAAAACGTCAAATCTGGAAAACTACAAAGAATTGAGCAGTGATATTTGGAGGCAAGATTCGCAATCCTTGAGAGTACTTTGACAGGACCTAACTACAAGGTTGGGAATTTCAGATTTTTAAAGAATAGAAATAACTCAAGTTTTCTGAAAAATTTTGAAAAAATCGCAAAAAACGTCATATCTCGAAAACTACAAAGAATTGAGCAGTCATACTTGGAGGCAAGATTCGCAATCTTTGAGAGTACTCCGACAGGACCTAACTACAGGGTTGAGAATTTCAGATTTTTAAAAAACTAATAATAATTTAAGTTTTCTGAAAAATTTAGAAAAAATCACAAAAAACGTCATATCTCGAAAACTACAAGGATTTGAACAGTCATATTTGGAGGCAAGATTTGTAGCTCCTTAGAGTACTCCGACAGGACCTAACTACAGGGTTGGGAATTTCAGATTTTTAAAAACTAATAATAATTTTAAAAAAATTTCAGAAAAGTTTTGAAAAAATCACAAAAAACGTCATATCTCGAAAACTACAATTGAGCAGTCATATTTGGAGGCAAGATTCGCAATCTTTGAGATTACTCTGACAGGACCCAACTACAGGGTTGGAAATTTCAGATTTTGCGAAAAAAAAAATTTTTCTGAAAATTTTTTGAAAAAATCACAAAAAACGTCATATCTCGAAAACTACAAGGATTTGAACAGACATATTTGGAGGCAAGATTTGTAACTCCTTAGAGTACTCCGACAGCACCCAACTACAGGGTTGGGAACTTCAAATTTTGTAAATTATTTTCTTATTTGAAATTTCTAAAAAATTTTGAAAAAATCTCAAAAATCGTCTTATCTCGTTAACTAAAATGATTCGGGCATTCAAAATTGGAGGCCAAATTCGCAACCCCTAATTCAATATTGGGCTGCTTAACTTAAACTCGGTAAAATAACCACTAAAATCAAACTGGAAAAACGAAAAAAAATCTTAATCATTGCAATATACGATATAGCTTAAACATGCAAAAATAATACGTTGAAAAAGCTTAAACATGGCGAGATAGTGAAGCCCGCATTTAAATATATAATAGATTTGTCGTAAGCTGTTAATAAGTGGTTTTTTATTCTCCAGAAATGGCAAATTACTTTCCAGTCAAGAAACATTAATACTGGTAAAACATTGTTTTAATTTGAGATCAGAAGATGAATCGAATTTTGCACAATCACAGCAGTTTTAATTGCCCAGCTAAGTTGCTTTTCTAATGAGATTACCAAATTTATTGAAATTCCATTCAAAAGGATAGCAGGATAGTGAAGGTGACTGATAACGAGTGCGTTCATTAGTAGTAGTCTTGTTTTGATAGGAAGGGGTTTTTTGATCGACTGTAGTGTTTTAATCACGCAGGCCATTTTTCTTACAATCATTTTCACTTCGTCTTCAAATGTCAAAAATTGGTCGAATATTACTCCGAGATTTGAAAACAGAATACGAAATACAAACCTTGAGGGTCGTTAAGATTTCTTGAGCCGCTTTCTGTTGCTGTAATTCACCCTGGTACATACAGTCGATGACCGAATCGAGTAAACTGATGTCAAGTTTCTGTTCAAAGTCCAGAAGACTTTTCGCCGATGTGGTGAGGTTTGCGGCATGATTAGCGCCACTACTGACTGAGACGACTGGTTCGGGCATAAACAACTGAAAATATCAACATTGCTACTGTGAACTTTGTTCAATTGTCGAATGACCGTCGGTAAAATTAATTTTCTCCACAGCATGAACTTTTTGGTACATTAAGAGTAATTCAATGAATCAAGTGAATTTAAAAAGAAACACTTTTATTGCCAAATGAAAATGGGAAACGTGATAACAATTAATAAAAGTTATTTCAACATACACATCAGTATGAGCGTTTCCTTAAATCAATTGAAAGTTGAGGTCTTTCCATAGATTGCCAATGTTGAATCTCCTTATAAAATAAAATAGAACTCTTGAATTCAATTTTGCTCGTCTATAAAAAAATGTTATTGAGATTAATTTTATCATCTGATATCTCATTCTATGTAGTCAGGGATCTCGCGTTCAGTTTGATTTAATTTTGCTAAGCACTGCGAAAAATTCGAACTCAGCACCAAGTTAACATGGTCCGGGATCTTTTAAAAATTGAAGTTTTTCATGTTATCCGTATTATATCTTTCAACGAAAAATAATTTTTATTTCGTTCATTTAAATATTTGCTGTTCGACAATAAATCAATGGCAGTTTTGATCGTATGTTCTGAACGAAAAGACGTTTAAAGGCATTATAAACGTTTAAACTTTGTAGTCTAGTGGTAAAAGAGTTCAGTCAAAGCAGTCCAAAAAAATAAGTTTTTTTTCGTCCGTAAAAACTCGTTGATATAAATACCGGAAACAGGTTTTACAATTGGTTAACGTTTATCTATGTGACATTCGACCAGAATGGCCAAAATGCAGTCTCTGCAGAATTCGGTATTTTAGCAGCAAGCCTTCCGAATTGGCGATTTAGAACGGATAAGGACGTTATTTGAACGATTAGCCAAACGGTGAAGGCTAGAAGATTCTGGAATTCTAATTTTTAAAAATTCGAATTATGACGTCATATTTCTGAGAAACGTCAGAAACGGCCATTTTTAGCAAAAAGAGCAAGAAAAAACAGAACAACTGTTATCTGCGATTACGAACAGTACGAAATCGAGACTAAAAAACTACAACGAACTACCGAACAGCAGAGGACGTTCCGAGTTGCAACTATTGTGCTGTTACAATAGTTGCAAGGCCGTTGCGAGCAACGGTGAAGGGTAAAACCCAGCCTTCCGAGTTATTGTGAACTGGATATTAAGAAGCTTGATTCACCGGATTCAAGAATCCGGAAGGGTCTCGGGACGTGGACTTTTATGAACTTATATTGAATTTTAGCATCCGTCATGTCCTGACTTGAATTTAATTAAGATCTTAATTCGTTTTGACAAGAATGAGGAGCTAGAAGTAGGGGGGAAAGGGTTGATCCATCTTCGATGGAGATGATGATTTTTATCCACTGAACAAAAACAATAGTAATATAATAAGTAGTAGCCCTGTTTTTAGGAGTGACCTCGTGGTCTGGGGATACTGAGACCCAGCCATGAGCTCACTATTTTTGCATGTAATCTAGTTAATTTGAGCGTTCTGGTCGAAGTCGGAGAACAGTAACGTTTTTGTCAGCCTGATGTAAGAAAGACCACCGAAAAGTACTGGCTTGGTAGAGACGGTGAAAAACATGCAAGGCTCTGTTTAGACGCTAGCCAGTCGTCTTAAGACTTAGTTTTGTTATCCGTCGATATGTATCTTCCGGGCGAATGTTACATGTATGTTTTTATGGCGCTCCTGGGTGTTATTCTTTTTTAACATCATGACCGGCAGAACCGTTAACGAGCATTCCGCGCCGAGCGGATGCTCACATTAACGCCCTTATTAGGCCTAAACCGCCGGGGCGGAAGGGTAGTTCGGAACGCGGAAGCCTTCCGGATTGCCGTGAATAGTTTTTTAACCTAGTTAAGACCGAAAATTCACGAACCAGGAAGGGTGGGGGGAATCGCGAACCCCTCATCCCCTGAGTGGTTTGTGACCAAAAACACTTAAAGATATAAGCAAAACCAAACAAAAAATAGTATAGTATCCAAGAAAAACAAAAAACATAAAAAATAACCGAAAAAACCAAAAACAGTAAAAAAGTAAAAAATCAGTAGAAATCATCCCCCCAGACAAGATGTGATTCAACCCCCCGTTTGTTGTTGATAGATATATTGTTGTTACAGGCATTTATATCAGTCAGGATCGTTACGATCAATTTTGTAGCCCGTTTGTGGGGCTTGTACTGTAGGGTTATTTGAGCATTTAAGCACGTTAATGATAAATTGCGCCCAATCCGGAAGGGTCAGCTGATTTGCGCTCAATTCGGAAGGGTCCGGGGTGAAGACCGATCCGGCAAGCAGTACAGGGAACAACAGGAAGAGGCTCAACGACAACTACAATCGACTGTTGGGTATCGTTAACAAGTTTTGTATCCCTTTTGGTACAAAAAGTAAGATAGTAATCTGTGGGGGGCTCGACAGTGCTGCACTGTAGTGACCCTTCACCGAACTGCGAATATCCGAGTTAAGCACCTTAATTCGGAGATTAAACAAACCCGGAGGGGTATAGTATTCCTAATATTATTACTTATATAGCCTATATTAATAGTCTTATATCGATTTTCAGACAAAAACAACGAGAACTGACCGGTTTTTAGGGTCAAAATTGCGATATTTTGATCCCCCCACAAGTCGCGATTTTTGAGATATCGATATTTTTTGAGACGGAAAAAAGCGCTAAGTTAGTGTGTTACATCGTAACTGCACTACTGTAATAAGTAGAACCGGTTAACTTTAGTTCGGAAGTGGTTAAAACTAGTTTGGTACAAAAAACCAAATTTTCCCAAATTTTGATAGTAAGAATCACTAAAAATTTAGAAAATTTTTTGAAATTTTTGAGGTATGACAGTAAAAATAGTTGTTCGGACAACGTCCACTAGTGAATCTACAAGTCTTAAAATCCGCTACCCGAAAGCCTTCCGGGTTGCAGAGAAATCGAACATAACGTGTTTGATTTGGTGGATTCATCAATCCGGAGGGGTCCAGGTAGCATAGTTTTTCGCAAAATTTTTCTACAATAGCGTTTTAGATCGGGTCTTTTGCATTGAACTAGAAGAGTATAGGCCTTCTGAGCTCGGATCAATAATTTTTAGGTTGAAAGGACCAGATTTGCGGAAAAAGTTAGGCGGAACCTATAAGAGAGAAAATTTTTTGAGTTCGAAAAAAAGACGTTTTGGTTAATAACTTTGGAACTACTGATCATATCGAGTTGATCTTGGTACCAACAGATCAGAAATTAGCTGAGCTTACTAATAGGATCAGAAATTTTTCGGAAAAGCGAGAGAGAAAATTTTTTGAGATTGTTTTTAGCAAATTACACAAATCCGGAGGGGTACACCCTTCACGTTTTACAAATTTTTCTGAAAAGCCCTTATACCCTTACCAAAAGGTAATAGCGGTTGAGTAAAGTAACTTTAGGCCATTCTAGACGTAGAGGGAGGGCAAAAGTCACCGCAAAAGCTTAACCGAGCCAAAGTTAGGCCAGCGACAAGACCCTTCACCGTTAGAGTGAATTGTCAAATAAGAGGCTTAACTTCAATCCGGAGGGGTCTAGGAAAGGACCCTATACCCTTCCCAGTTAATTAAAACAGCATAATTGCATCGGAGAACGTATTCGGAGGGGTATAGGTTGAAAAAAGGAAATCTCCTAAAAGCAACTTTTACAAAATCGGAGGGCTCCCAATCCGGAGGGGTCGAAGTTTTTTCAAGAGGGATCCGAATCCGGAGGGGTCTTATTTGAGCTAATTCGGAGGGGTCCAAATCCGGAGGGGTCTAGATTCTGACAAATCCGGAAGGGTCCTATTTGTGCCAATCCGGAGGGGTATTTTTTTTTATTAAGGACTTAGGTGAACGAAAGAAAGACTAAAAAGTGAGAAGTATTAAGTTATTAATACACAGGCTAGGTATCAGTGACTGCGCTGGTAACTTGCCTTTCGATAAGAACAAGACTAATACAAAACAAGTCCAAACTCGGATATTCGCGACACTAAGTCTAAATTAAAGAGAACGTGGTTCATTGGTGTGGATTGGACATAATACGTTTTTGGGAAAAGTGACTGCCCTGAGGATTTTAGTAGGTCTAGCTCGGGCAGTCCGAAGGCAGATAGGTAACACAGTACTCGGCGGGTGCAATAGACGCCCACTTGAGAAAATAACTGCCTTCAAAGTTTTGTCTGTTTGGTGCAGCACCAAGCAGGGAAAGCTTTTTCTTTAAAAGACAGGTTCGACTATTGTACTGCGACTGACTAAGAGTACAAGACACATACGTTTTTTTTTATATATACATTCATATTGTGTCAATATATATTTTTTTGTTTTTTGATTTTAAATCAACCTAAACTGAGCTTGATTGGGTAGTGAGTACACTATCTTTTAAATTGACTGATAACATCATATTGTGCTAGTTTCCAGATCTTTGGACCGATAATCGGCTAGTGTGAATAAATTTTATACAAACTGTACTCTGACAACATACAGGGATTCGTGGTCACTATTTAATAGAATCTGGTGAAATTTATTGTGTTGTGTCATTATTATTGTTAATAAAACTATAAGGTCTCTAACAATTGAGTCAAGAGTAGGCATAGGAAAGTGACAAATAAAGAATGAGTTTAGACAAGTCAAGGATACCAAAACGAGGTAATAGCTCTAGGAAATTCATACCTGAAAAGCAAAGAAAAACGATGACCGATCCTTTTGTGGATTGGATCAAGCGAACCCGGTCCGATAAAAAGGGGACGGTTTCAGGCAGAATGGTTGAAACGAGAAGTCAAAAGACCTCAGAAGAGCGAAGAGAACTGTTAGAAGTGGAGGTCAATACGGACCATACCATGAACGACAACCAGGGAGTAAATGGACTGGAAGGGAGAGGCAGAAGGCTGGCGAGTGAATCTACTCCGGTAGAACAAGGCCATGATTTTGCCACTTCCACCGGGACGTTGGATCGAGAGGAGATGTCGGAACTGTCCGACATCTCAACTGAAGTAACGGCAACTAGAAGATCTC